ACTTGGGCTCCCAACACAGGTATCGTGTGTGGGAAACAGTGCAATGAGATGAAATTGAAATCACTTTTCTATTTTACAATTGTATTTTATATTGACAAAACATCTCGTGATCGACTGAGAATCAGTCAGCGATCTACCTGTCGATCGCAATCGACTGTTTGGGCACCCCTGCACTAACGTTTGAATTAGCGGTATCAGACTGTGTTTCTTTTACGTGTTTACAACTGAACAAGCCTGGGAGATATTGTGAATATGCACATTAACGTTTGAACAACGTTGAGTTATTGTGAATGCACTACGTATAAAACTACGTTTTGAGAGTTAAGAGAAATGTCAAAGAAATAATTTATTATTTGGGGAAATCGTCTTATGTACTTTTGTTTTTGTAGTTTTATACGTTACGTTTTATATGTATTTATATTTATATATTCACAATATCTCCCAGCCTTGTTCAGTTGTAAACACGTTCCATTCTATGCGCCTTATAATCCGGTGCGCTCTATACATGAAAACAGTTCTAAAATAGGCCATTCATTGAAGGTGCGCCTTATAATCCGGTGCGCCTTATAGTGCGGAAAATACGGTACATTGTTTCCCAGCAGACAATTTTAATTCTATGCGGCTAAATTTTGACATTTTTTTTGAGTGTTTTCTTACCTTTAGACTAGTCTGTTAGTCTGAATTTAAATGCATTCTTAACAGACTAGGAAATCTCGGAACATCACTAGTGAGGAGACGCATCAGAATCATTTTTATGTGAGGCTTTCCTAGCTTTGCAAGACAAAATAAACTCAAGAAACAGACTGACTATATACACTGTTATCACAATCTGTACTACAGTCTATCACTTGCAATAGCATCACTCACCCTGTGATGTCATAGTGAACCCTCGGTGAGCAGCATTGTATGTGCAAAGCAGTCTAATCTGTGCACTCCTTTGTTGTCCATGGCTTCTTCATGTTTTTAGCATTGTCTCTCAAAATATCATGCACTTAAGCAATCTGATAAAGAATTCCTTGGAGGTGGTTGAAATCCAATCTCTGGTGTGTGACCTGTGGAAGCTTGTTGTTTGTAGCACCTTGGTGTGCAACTTGGGTTCAACCAGTGTACTGTCAAACATGACAACAGGCAACCGTCAGAGCTCCAGGAGTTTGCTCTAAAGCTCATAGCTTTAACATTCATTAACTCTGCACACATTCAGGTAGAGACCAGCCAGAGTGCTCTCTGAAAAATATGTGATCGCAAACTGTACTGTGGTTCAGTGTTCAGTTTGTCAAATCATCACTGGAAAGTTTCTTGCTTCTTTGCAATGCACACAACCAGGATAACTGCTTAGTTTCATTTTTTTTCTGCCTTCTTTGTTTGTTGGTTAGCTTCTCCAAAATTCCAAGAAGTTGTCGGCATAACAAGCTTGGAATACCTCCAAAACTGCTTAGTCAACTCTGACTGCGCTATGTTGGCTCTACCTAGCAAAATACACAGGACTACCAGCCTGATGACAAATGATGTAAATGCACATAATTGCCGTTAACACAGAATTTCATGAACTGCATTGCATTGATTGGCATTTCTAAAACTTTATTTATATACAATAATTTGAGGTTTTATTTAAAAATGGGGGATTTTCTTTTATCTCCAGATTGATTTTGGGGCTTTTTGTGCTCTTATAATAAAGGCAGGACAGTGGGTAGAGTCAGAAATCGGGGACACGGAGAGAATGGGATATGACATGTGGGAAAGGAGCAACAGGTTGGATTTGAACCCAGGCTGTCGGCTTGGAGGACCGTGATTTCCCTTTATTACAATATCATGTAACAAGGCGATGTGGGTGATTTCACCTTGGTCGCTCTCCTTGTTGTGGAACATCTGTTATGGCATCCAGAAAGTGCTCTTGAAATGATTCAGAGCTGGTGTGCAGTTGACTCAGAGGATTCAGGACACACTCTACTGCAGACTGCTGGAGTCTAAAACATGTGAATCACAGTGAGTGCACAGTAGCTGAACCTCTGCTGTGCAGCTCGCAGGTCATTTGGTGTGACTCCAGCTCCCACTGAGAGTCCATCTGGTCCGCTGAGCTCCTGCACACACAGGCACACGGAGTCAATGATATCAAACCAATCATCGCAGAGCCAAGTGGATTTGATGAAGATTAGAACCAGGATAAGCTTCACCATGACTACAACTTAAAGGAAAACCTGACAAGAACTTTAAAGACCGGACAGGAGGACTGAATGTGAATAGAGGCTCAGGTTCTTTAGGTGGAAGGATTGGCAGACAGTTTGACACTGGTTGTCATTGGCAGCTCCACAAAAATGGAAACCCTGCCTCTTATTGCTGACATGTTGCTAATGTGATCTCAATTATCAAACCACTTTTAAACAGGGGACCTCGGAGGGGATTTATTTGGCACAAGCTTTTAATTATGCTAACATGGTATGGCTCAACCTGGCTATTAGCTTTTCAACGCTTGTCCTAAGAGTTTCCAATTGTGTGACAGAAGAGTGTCTTTGATAGCTGCTTTTCAACAGCACTGTAACGGTCGAGCATTATGCACGAACACTGACTGGAAAAGTAAATAAAAGTGCAGAGCAGCCTGAGGAGTCGGATTAAATGGTAAATGGACTTGAGCTTGTATAGAGCTTTTCTAGGCTCCTCCCTCTAGGATCGTACCCCAAACCTTCTGGTTGGGAGATGACCGACTCTACCAAATTATCCACAGCCGCCACATTGGGTTGAACAAATTGATGATGTCATCATGCATTGCGAATGGCTGGCAGTGATTGACCACCGTAGGATCGTTCATCCTTTGACCTGGAAGCATGCTCTCTGCACCCTAAACACATTGTTCATTCAGTTCAGCACTAAGCTCGATCCATTATAAGCCTTTATGAGTCTTGTGTTGTACCTGTGATACAAGTTGCATGCATTTTAGTTCGCCAGAATGCATGAGATTTTTCACACAGACAGAGAAAGTGTGCTGCTCATGTTCAGTGAATCCCAGCACATCAGTGATATCTTCATCATAACAGGTTTTACCACAACATAGTTTGAAGTCAACACTTTCTGGTTCAGAAGTGACTTATTTAAGTCTCGCCTTCTCCCTTCCTTTACAGTTTGTAATGTGGTCCCTTTTACTATTTCAGTTTTGTAGTTATTTCATTTTGAGACAAGTAATGCAGCTTAGTGATGTGAAAAGCAGTTCTTTTCAGTGTACTGAATCAGTAGAATCAGTTCAGTAAAGTCATTCGTTCAAAAGATTAATTCACCGAATCGTTCAGTACTTCTCTGCAGCTCTGTCTGTGAATCAGAATTTAATAAGCTGAAACACGGCCGAATGTTTAGTTCTGCTCACGATCATACTGAGAACAGCCGGTGGTGAATAATAAACCAATGAGCTGAGAATTTAGTTGGATAAAGTTACAGTTTGCAAACTGAAAGCTGCTAAAACAATCACATTTATTTTCCCCGACCGTTCTGTTCAGTACATTCAGTACACGTTGTTCACTGAACGAGAGCTCCGCTCTTTCTCTCAGTCAGTCAGTGATTCATGTCGGTGCTCTCGTTCAGTTCGTTCACTGAACGAACTGAACGAGAGCTCCGCCTCCGAGTCACTCTCTTCCTCTCAGTTCGTTCAGTTCGTTCACTGAACGAGAGCTCCGCTCCTCCTCTCAGTTCGTTCAGTGATTCACGTCGGAGCTCTCGTTCAGTTCGTTCAGTGAACGAACTGAACGAGAGCTCCGCCTCCGAGTCACTCTCTTCCTCTCAATTCGTTCAGTGAACGAAACACTGACTGAACGTGAACGAGCGAGACTGCAAGTCACCAGCCTCAGTCACACACACACACACACACACACACACACACACACACACACACACACACACACACACACACACACACACACACACACACACACACACACACACACACACACATACACACACACTGTACTGACTGAGGAGAGGAGGGAGGGCGGGCTTTGAGCGACTCTTATGGTCTGGAGAGAGAGATAAGAGACGGGAGAGAGGAGAGCGCAACTGAAGTTGAGAAATGAACGACTCTTTTTAGTAAGTGATTCAGTTCAGTTCGTTCACCCAGATGATTTGTTCTTTTTGAACGAATCGTTCATGAACTACACATCACTAATGCAGCTCTAGAGTTGGGCTTTAGTGTACTGCACCTGCCTTACCTGTGTAATTCAAATAGCAAACAAAAAGGGTCAAATGTTCCCCAAACAGTGCTGCAGAGCAAAATGCATTTTAGTGCTCTGGTGCTATTTGCACATATTCAAATGGAAAAAAGGTAACTGTTAATTTACATTGCCTCGGTGGGCAAAATGGCCTTGTTGCAAAAAAAAAGGAGCATATCACAAACACTGGCGCGTGGCTGTTAGCCACATTCAGAAATTTCACTTTCTGCATTTTCAGTTGTCATTTCAAAAATGTTCAGTGGTAACTGCGCTGCAGGGTTATAAGGGATGCAATGCTCAAACTTTCCAAGAATCTGGAAAACAATTCTGTCTCTGTGTAACTCAGAATTTAATTATCTTTAAATGCAGTCCGAGTTTTGCTTTGGCATAACTATGATCGTTACAGTCATGGGTTAGACCAGTCTGGGGCTGCATGAGGCCTGACCTCTGGAGCCGTCACAGAGCAGGAGGCAGAGAGTGCTTTGTTGTTTTGATGAGCTGCTCCCGCTGGCTCGTTTAAGGGAGGAAGCTTTGTTGTAAACTTGCATCTCATCTGTTGAGCTAAGACTTAACAAGAAACTGTAAGAGGTGTCTCCTCCCAATTCAAACAATCTCACATAGCTCCTTTCAATGCAAAGGAGCAGCAAGGACTTTACTCTGAGCTTCACCTGCAGAGACCCCACCATCGAGCAGAAAATCGGCTTTCTCTGTTGTTAGACCTGTTAAATAATAAGTCAATAACTGTGCTTATCATTATGCAGAGGCTCTGAGAGGTTCTTAATATTTTTTCATTTGTGTCTCTTATGTTGACAGCTGTGAAAACCGCTGACAACCTGCAGCCCCTGGAAGAGAAGGGGGAGGCGTCCAAATCAAGCAGCAAAATCCAGGAGCATAACAACAACCAATAAGCTTCAGTTTACGACCAATGTGCCGGCCAATAGGACAGCTCCAAACTGGTAAAACTTTGTTTTTGTCTTTAAGTCCAAACTCGAGATGCTTTTCCTGTTTATGTTCATAGGCTGAAAAAGAAAAGTGTTGCAGCTGTGACATTAACCGTGTACACTCTGAGTTCAGACGATTGCCAATCTAGAGTCGTATTTCAGGGAGTTTTTAGAAATGAACACACACATGTTTATGTTTTGAATGATTTGTCTAATGTAGAGAAGTGTGATTAGTGTTTTACAAAAGGTGTGAGGCTGGGGATGTGCGTATAATCATGCAGATCTTGGCAGACGTTCTGCTCCGTGTGTGGAGTTTCAATAACTGTGGATTATTTATTAACTTTATTCTGTAAGCTACCGTTGAAAAAATAAACTGCAACAGCTTCCTGTTTGGGCTGAATCAATACCTGTGTTACTCATTTTATTATAAATGGAAAATTCAACCCGTGCGAAGGAACAGTGAGGTGGGCCGAGGAGTGTAACAGCTCCTGCTGTCTCTGCTCAACACGCTGCCAACACAGGAAATAGAAAGGGCAAGTGTGTGTGTGTGTGTGTGTGTGTGTGTGTGTGTGTGTGTGTGTGTGTTTGGGCGCACTTGTTTGTCAGGTGTGTGTTTTTTCTCCTGCGTTGTTGACTGCAGGCCCAGAGGAGATGCACTGTAGAGAGGGAGCAACAATAAGGAATAGAGAGGAGGGACATCTTAATGACATAGACGGTATAAAAGATGGACGACATGACAGCTCACCAAAAGTAAAGCCATTATATTTTGAGCTCCCTGATTGGCTGCTGTTTAGGTCATACAGCCTGTTTTCCAACTTCCATCTGATGCGCGTTCGGTCTGTCTCCACTCCGGTCCGGCAGCGGCGCTGATAGGTTTTCACTTTATTCAATGTGTGTGCTTTCACTGGCTTCGCTGCGCTGCGTCTGAGCTCCAACAGTCCGGAGCCCTCCGCAGAAGATACGCAGGACTTCTATTTTTGCCTGATGCTGGAGCACGACACATCAATTTAGCACAGAAAAGAACAAGCGGGACAGGAAGTCAGACACCGATACATCATTAAAACACCCGGTTAATTTTCTGAATAAAACACTCTGTTTTGACGGTTCAGAAAAACCACCGTTTGTGTGTTTGTTTATGTGTTTATAAGGTTTAGAGATTTATACCACAATCGTATTATCTCGCACTGTCGCGAGTGAATCTGTTAAATTATCGCGGGAATTCCTTTGTCTCGGCACTCCAGCTGACGGCTGTGCTCTCCGTGCTGCGGATGGAGAACGCAGCCGGTGGGTGTTGACGGACGATGGTGCACAGAGCCGAAACGGACCGGAGTGGACACGCAATGCACACGTATCTGGTGGACGTTCGGGGGTCTCTCTTTCTGAAATTCTGTACAATTTGATTTGTAATCGATAACTCACATCCCAAAAGTAGGAAGACGCTTTTTAAAGCTCAGTAGTTTTTAGTCAGTGGTGAATACCTTACGTCAACAATAAGACGTTTTAAGGAGTTTTGGAAGCATTTTGCAAAATTCTGAAACTGATGAGTTGGAATCAGCTGGATCAACATTTAAGCGATTGAATCTCATATACACTGATGGTCTACATCAAACCAACACAAGAAGCTGTAGGAGTGTCGACTGTGCCGACCTGAGGGGTCTCTGCTGGGTTCTGGGTAAAGGTAGGGGGCTCCACTCTGCTGCACAGACTCTGGCAGGGGGAGATGTAGAGGCTTTAAGGATTGATACATGCACTCTTAAAAACAACCAATGTGAGCACTGTGGGCGTCTTTCTCAGCTCTCCTGCTGCCCACATCTGATTTCTGGTAAACACAATAAAAAAGACATTACAACAGAACAACAGTGAACATGTTTTCTGGGAAAGACTTTGCCTACAGGCATCCAGGACTGGAACCCACTCACTCTCTCATGACTGTCATGTGTTCAGAGAGAGAGAGTGTTTCTTTTTGAAAACAACAGATATGTCGACCAATCACAGCAGCATTATCCCCTCATGTTGAAAATGTCAACTAACTGGGTTTTCTCCCTACATTAAGATAATAAGAAATGCAGAGAAGATTGAACATGACTGCTTGTCCACCTTTTATCTGCTTTCTCCCTTTTCTCTGTGTGAAACTGTTCTGCAGGAAATGAGCTGGACACATGTTCCTAATCCAAATGAAATAGCTCCTTCAGTGTGTGTGTGAGAGAGAGAGAGTGTGTATGTGTGTGTGTGTTTTATCTTTGTTGTGTGTTTTAGGCAAACTAGAAACATATGGCTCTGTTCAGTAATCACACCATGCATTAGCCTCACTGATTCTTAAAACGTTCTCAGACGTTTGTAACCAATGCTTCGGGCCTCAAGAAATCAATCAAATATAACATCTCCTTCCCTGAAGTCCATATTTAATAAAGACTGCAGATGATTAAATAACTTAATAAGTGTTTAGTTTTATCTTCAATGCTGGAACAACAGTTTCAGGCAGCGTTGTAGGATCCATACAGAGAAGAGCTTTGTGCTGATATAACATCCCTGATCCTTGTAACATGAAACAGCTGTTACACTGCCCTCCTCCAAGACTCCATTGAGAACAAACATCAACTCTACCTCACAAATCCCCCAGAGGATGACAGTGCCTGTAATCTCTTTTTTACAGATTCAACATGAAAGTGTCAAATTTGTACATGCAAGACCGGACTTTTGTACGTGTTGTGGTTTTCTGTTAGGAGTACGTTTGTAGTCCATGTAGTATCGACCAATCAAGAATCAGCATGGCTCTGGCTCATGGTCTCTTCTGAAGTTAATAACTCGACTGTAATCAATGCGGCGACAAAGGTAGTCTTGGCTGGAAGTCGTTTACTGTTAGCTACTACGGAATTAACAAGAAGTTGACCTTTTTTTCCCAGAGGCATACATTTCATCAGACGATGAATTGATGAGATGATTTATTGGTTGAATTGTGTTTTTAAAAAGGTGTGTTTGGATCCAACATCATATTCATGTAACATACAACCCAACACAACCGATATATAGTGGTAGACAAACAACTTAAAGGAGATCTATTATACTCACTTTCACCATTAATTATGTCAGCCTGGGACACCTATCGAGTAGTGTTGTGAGATGCGTAGCTCAGAAAACTCATTATTTATCTGATACTAGCATCAGTTAAATCCCTTATTTCAGCCTCGGCCTGAAACGGTTCATTTCAGCTGCTGTCTCTTTAAGGCCCCCCCTCCCAACTGCCCACTTTCCTCCAATTGGCCAGCTCTGTTTGCCGTCACAGGGAAATGTATGTATTTGAGGTTCTTGTTTGTATATAACATTTTAGAAATGTCAATAAAAACAATTCAGTTCATGATATTCTTTGTTCACCACAATTATGTGCAGGTACATCGTTTGTCATCAGTGTGCTGTTATGTTTGTGCATTTTTGATTGTCAGAGAAAACATAGCACAATTTAACACATTAGTCCAAAAGTATTTACTAATGCAGCCCTTAGAGCCCTTCTCGTGGCTGTTGGCTGAACAAATCTAATGAGGATTATACGACACACTTTGTACCGTTTCAATCATTTAGAAAATATAAAAGAGTCCAGGTTTAAAAAATACAGGAAGTCCCCTCAAACACCAGTGAGCTGAGCTATAAGCCCCAATGTTGACAGCTGAGGCTGAAAGAACCAGTCCTGAGGATTAACCAATCAGAGCCCAGAGTAGACAGCCTGGTGTTGTGTATGTCATCTTGTATCAGTAAACATTAAAATAAAAAGTTTCATGTGAGGTTAGGCCTTCATGTTTCTATATATCAACGCACCGTACTTTTGTGTGTGTGTGTGTTCTGGGGTGTGTGTTTTTGTGTCAGTGTATTTTGTAAGTCCTATTCCTGTTGTTGCTAGGTGCATGATGTCACAGCCTACCTCTAACCCTATTGGCTGTCTCTCTCTCTCTCTCTCTCTCTCTTGTTCAGATGGGGTGCTGAGCTGAGCTGAGGAGAGAGCCGGAGCGAGGGTGGACAGGCAGCCGGGCTTTCCTTTCCCACCGTCCTCTGCGTCTCCATCGGCCCTGTGGAAGCACTCGTCCACACCACTGCACTGTAACACCCTCAGAACTCTTTGTCCTCCTTCTCGCTCCGTCACTGCACTCGTTCTCTCTCTTTCTATCCGTCTATCTGTCCATCATGGTTGACGAGCAGGTCAGTGGAACCTAAGTACCAGAGATCAGTAGAGACCTCTGAGCTCAGACTTTGCAGCACGTCTAACGCAGATTATCCTCCTCAGGCGATGCAGCACTTTATCTGAGCACAATCCTTCACCCCCCCCCCCTCCCCAGCCCAGAATCCGGCTCAGTCCCACAGGCTCCCACAGGCCATGAGGAGGGCCAGGGGCTTCATCTCTTTCTAGACCTTCTCTTCTCCACCTTGTGTCTTCATGTTTTGGGGGTCCTCTGCTGCCCCCGCCCTGTGTCAGCCACCCAGGACCCGCTGCCACCACGGCCGACCACCCCAGTCGCCTCGTTGCCATGCCGACAGAGACACTGGCTCCAGCCCTGCCAGATAGCAAGGCCGCTGGCCCCGCAACGCCGTTCAGCTCCGCTGTACCTCTCCGCATCCTCAATAAAGGGCCGGACTACTTCAGGAGACAGGTACAGTGACATCAGCTATGGAGCCAGCTGCGTGTAGGGTAGTGACTTTTATTTTGTAGCAGGTTGTATACATCCAGTTTTACTGATCCCCCTCCTGGGCAGTCAGAAAGTGGAATTAGAGGGAGCACCACTCTGCCTGTGCGTTTTGTTTTGTGGTGAAAGAAGCTAACACAAGAGTAACACACTCAAATGAGAGAAAACATCTTTGACAGCAAAGATAGAAAAAACAGTCGCTATGAGTGACTCTTTCATACAGAGATAATTGATTGAGGTTGTGAAGTACCAATACTTTGTTTCCAGGAGATAAGATCCTGGTTCTGCAGCCCTCATATGTTTTAGTCCTTCTGAATGTAGCACACAGAAACCTGCAGTCCTCTCTTTAATCCAAGCTGTAAGAAATGAACGTTGAATCTAAAACAGGTCTTTTAAAGCAAGCTCAGCATATTACGCCATTGATTAATTAATTCAAATTGCACAAACATGTTTACTCCAGGATGGTTTTGTTCATACAGTTATACAGAATAATATATTTGTTAACAGGTGGATCATTAAGTGTGTTTGTGTTTCTTTTGAGGGAATGAGTTAACAAGGGTGTTCTGCAGAGAAGGGGGGAGTCTATATTACTGCAATGAGGAATGTTCCTAGGCAACTATTTCAAAGACATTTAAATGCAAATTTAAGTTTAGACTAGTCGATTTATGTAAAGTTGAGAAAACAGTCAAAATAGAGCTCACTATATTTACTTACACACAGGATCACACTGTCTGAAGGTACACAATGACAAATTCAATTTTATAGTGAAGATTAACCCCATTGGTAATCACATGATTAAAATGATTTTATTTTGCAATTAAACTTTTTTTCATGCTCTGTTAGTGATGTGCTGATTTGATTGTTTTTGTTTGTAGAAAAGGTGATTCTTAATATTTAAATGTGTGTCTCAGGTGGAACCCAACCCGAAGCGCCTCAGTGCTGTGGAGAGGCTGGAAGCTGACAAGGCCAAGTATGTCAAGAGTCAGGAAGTCATCAACGCCAAGCAGGAGCCAATCAAACCGCCTGTGCTGGCAAAGCCTCCCGCCGGTCACCCACTTCTCAAGAGAGGCTCTGGGATTGGTGGAGGAGGACATGGAGGCGGGATACCTTTCAAAGCATCCAATAACAACGCCAAGTCGGACACATGTGCCGGCAGCGGCAGCAAGCGCGAGAATTTAAACCTGGAGATCCTCAAAAATCTGCTAAACTCCTCGTCCTCTTCAGGAGCAGGACCTGAAGGACGAGGAGGCGGAGCTAAAAGTGCGGTGCTGATGAGGTCAGCCAGGAGTTGGACACCATTAGGGTAAACGGTTATTCTCTTGTTTCAATGATGAGAAGCTATTGTAGAGTTTACTAGCTCTACAAAGTTTCACGACTGTGTTATTGTCTGATGTATGATTTATAAATGTGTTTCTGCTTCTGTAGATTAAAGTCACTGTGGGAGAATACGAGGGGGATCAAAGCCTAACTCTAAAATATCAGTAGAGGTTTATAGAGCTTTCTACAATAAGTTAGAAAAAGTAAACACAGACATGAAAGTAATGGCTGATGCATTATGAAGGATTTATTTTGACTGTGAAGCAATTCAAATGTGATTATGTGATATGAAATGTATATTTGGGCAACTCTGCAGACTTCTTCGTCCTCTGGCTGCAGAGGAAGATTATTTTTTCATTTCTCTACAAACTGATCTCTCATGAAAATACATACAAGCCTGAACCTTTTTGTTCTTTTGCAACATAAAGCTAGAGTTTCCTTCTTCAGGGTATTCATGCTGTACAGCATTAAATGACCAATCTGTAAGATATCTACCGAATGAGATAACATGACCTTACTATATGATCAGACATTAAGGAAACATGCTGTGTTGAAGTGCTGGCTTCTCTGACAACAATGCAGCAGCCAGTATGTCCTCCTTCTAACTTTAGATTCTGCTCCTGAATGCTCTGGATTTGTTTGGACCAGAGAAGGTAGGCGGTTTTTATGGAAGCGATTAGTGATCAGAATTCAAATGATAAAGATAATTTGAAAATTCAAATGCATTAACAGAAATGCTTTTTAATTTTCAGAATATGAGTGTATTATTTGACTCAAAAATAAAATGATGATTAACTTATCTAATTTGAATTTTAGTTTTCATGTTCAAAAATGCACATTCTTTGACTAAATTAAAATGAGGAAGAAAATTACATTTGCTTTATCATTTTCAAAAAATGCCCCGCTAAATCTGTATCATAATTCAAATGAAAAAGCTCATTTTTAAAATGAAAATACAGTAACAGAAACACGTTTTAATTTTCAGAATATAGGTGCATTATTTGATCTATATTTAAAATTAATATTCAGTCATCCAGTTTGCATTATACTTTTACTCTCTATGTATGCATATTGTATGACATCATTCAAATGAAATCGAAAAGGTCTTAGGCTTTTCGTTTTTAAACTTGCCGTGCTAAAAAGTGATCATAATTCAAACCAACTTGAAAATAATATGGCAAAGTGGACGACACAGGAAGGTGACGTCAGACTCCAGCTCCCAGGCAGGTGAACGTAATATTTAGTGAGGAGAGCGGGCAGAACGCGCAGTATGATGGGTGGCGGGGTGAATCTTTAACAGTAGGGCAGACTTTAGTTCACACTGTGATGCAGGTGGCGATCGGAGTGCTTTTTTCAGCGCACACTGAACTTTCAGCGAGCATGACGCAGCAGCTTTATAACCAGAGCTGCCAAGTCTCACACATGACAGCATGCCCACTATCTCTGACCGTGAGAGTCACTCAGCATCTGCACGCCGTGAAATTCACACAGACGTGTCCTAAGACCGGTTTATTGATAGATTATAGATCACTCTCTTCTCTGCTTAACTTAATTACATTAAAAAATTTCTGTTTCAAATAATCTCTCCAGCTCTGTACACAAAGTGTCTCTCATCCTCTGTGCGTAATGGCACATACTCTCCCTCTCAACCGACTGCATGAGCTCTCTCTCCCTTTCAGAGATTTTTTTGTAGTTATTAAAAGAATAATCAACTACAACGCTAAAATTGAATCAAAATCAGGGCTACAACTAGTTTGGAGCTTGTACCAGCGCGTTAAAGATTCACCCCGCCACCCATCGAAAAGCCTGAAAACGAAAAGCCAAAGACCTTTTCGATTTCATTTGAATGATGTCATACAATATGCATACATAGAGAGTAAAAGTATAATGCAAACTGGATGACTGAATATTAATTTTAAATATAGATCAAATAATGCACCCATATTCTGAAAATTAAAACGTGTTTCTGTTACTGTATTTTCATTTTAAAATTAACTTTTTCATTTGAATTATGATACAGATGTAGCGGGGCATTTTTTGAAAATGATAAAGCAAATGTCATTTTCTTCATTTTAATTTAGTCAAAGAATGTGCATTTTTGAAGATGAAAACTAAAATTCAAATTAGATAAATTAATCATCATTTTATTTTCTCTGCATGTTTCTAATAAGATCCACGAGCAGAAACGTGCTCAAACTAGGATCAATATTGGAGATGCTTTTAAAAAATGGAGAGAGGTTAGAAAGCAGTTTATGTTTCTGCAAGTAATGAAAAATTAAACTACAGTATAAACAAATTAAACTTACTGTAGATGTGTGCTATCATTTAAAGGAGATGTATGTTATGCAGCTTCACTGCAGCATTTATCAGTATCTTCATTTATGTTAAAAAGTTTGAAAGGGGTTGGTTGATTGTTATTTGGTCGTTTTATGTCTCTGACTCAACCTTAAACACGCTTCACTTCTCTGTTTCTTCCCTTAGGATGCCGTTAACCTACCGGTCCACAATGACGCTGAATGAGCAGCCTGCCGACTCAGCGCCTAGTCCGAGCACCTCACACTCCCTCCGCTCCTTCTCCCATTCCCTGAAGGTCCCTCCAATCAACAGCACGGGCCGCCGCAGTCCACAACAGGGAGGGAATCTCAACCTGAGCCGACGAGTGCTGGACGAGCGGGGAGGTGAGGGAGGAGTCATCGATCGATCTCGCTCCCCCCTGCCTCCACTGCTCACCTCCCACTCCCACTCCGATCTCCTGCGCCTGTGCAACGGCAGGCCGCTCCGTACGGCCCGATCCAGCAGCTCCTCTGCCCCGCCCCTCCCTCCAAAACCAAACCCCGCTTCCCTCCCTCCTCCCGCGCTCTCCTTGTCTCTGCCTCCCCCGCGTCCGACTCCCTCCCCCTCGCTCTGTGACAACACCACCCCTCAGTCGCTGCCTCGTGATTTCGCAGACCCTTCCTTTACTTCCGCCGAGCCCAACCTGGAGCTGGGGCTCGGTTGTTCTGTGGCCCGTCGCTCGTCCCTGCACAGATCCAAATCAGACTTGTCCGACCGATACGCTCGGGCCGGAGCCGACGTGGAACGCTTTTTTAACTACTGCGGCCTTGACCCCGAGGAACTGGAGGCAGTCGGTCCGGAGAACTTTGCACGGGCCAACTCGGACATAGTGAGCCTGAACTTCCGATCCGCTTCGATGATCTCCTCGGACTGCGACCAGTCGAGGCGATCCTCCAACGAAGGACTGTCGGACGCCGACGAAGACGAGGAGGAGGAGGCCGGGGAGCGGGTACCGTATGGCATCTCGGCTGTGGAGCGAAATGCAAGAGTCATCAAGTGGCTGTACAGCATCAAACAGGCGAGAGAGACTCAAAAAGTGTCCCATGTTTAGGAGGGAGGATGGAAGCTCCGGAAGGTTGGAGACAAACCCAACGCTTCTTTAAAAAACTGACAGATGGACAAGACGTACTCACAGGTTTAGAGACTGTGACGGTGGGGCCGGACTAAAAAACGTGTTTCTATGGATGAATGAAATGAATGGCGGGAAAATCTTAGAAAAAAAAAAAAAAACACAGAAGAAGACAGTTTTTGAAATAGAGAGCATAAATGACCCTGATCCTTTAAGGTTTAGAACTACATGAACACTTCAGACGTGGACGGTCTCATGAACAAAGTGTTGAGTTTTTCACACACAGACAAACAGGAGAATAAAAGAAAAACTACATCATGAAATGTTTCTCCACGGACACAGTATAATTCTGACGGACAAAGTCTGTCAACTTTGCTTGAGCAACAAGAGCGAAATGCACTACGACGATGAAAAGACGCCTGAAGAAAAGGCTTCACTGCAGAGGGTCATCATGGATGTATTTTTAAGTCCTGCGTTCCAAACTTAAAACCTTTAGGCTGCCGTGCCTATCAGTGTCACAAGTAATGCTACTAGACTCACTGAATAAACACATTAAGGCCCTGTGTCCACCTAGTGTTTGTTTTTTTCGGAGCGCCAGAATCTTTTTTAAATTGTTTTCAAAGAGTTGAGTGCTCACAGCAGCGTAGGGCAGAGCCCACTGTCTTTTTTCCGAGCGCTCTGCCTTTTTTGTGCGACCGCCTTTAGTGCTGTAAGTTGAAAATCTTTTTTTAACAAAGGTGCTGTTGACGTCACCGGCGCTCTTTTCAAAATAAACAATATTCCCTGTATTTCTGCCGCCTACAGATCATGTTTTTTTTTTTACCCACATCCTCTTTGCTCCGTGTCTGATCGGGAAAATAGAAAAACGTGCAGTGAAAAGTAACGGAGCAGAGTCGGTCATACAGCGCCCGTTGACAACAGACTGTTGTCATAGAGACAGGGCAGACGTGCAAGGCTTTTATTCTCAGCGCACAAACACTTCATGCAAATGCTCCCGAGCGCGCAGCCAGCGATTAAGTGCCCGGAAGTAAACGCTAGGTGGACACGGGGCCTTATGTTTCTCCCGATGGCTCATGGAGATGACTTTGTGATAACGTCAGGATCTACTCTCCTCAGCTCAAATAAAGTTTGACAAAATAAGCTCAAACTAAGAAAAATAACTGACCTCAATAAGAGTGTCAATAGTTTAACAGCTTCTCCTTAAGAACAGATTCCTGTGAGGAAATGCAGTTGTCACAAGTGGCCACTAGGGGCAATTTGAAGTGGGTCGTTTCAAGGTGTTAATCATAAATCCATGAGTGTTGTGGGCCTTTCTCTCAGAACATTTTGGCCTGACACCCCTTAGTTCAGACCTTTAAATCATTGCCTTCATCTGTGATGTGTTGAGTCCTGATTGTCAAAGGGGTCGAGGTCAAAAACTTTTATTACCGCAATACTTTAACCATACAGTATTCTTGAAAACGATACACTCTGTTGTTTTCAAGATTGATAGTTTTAAAAAACACTTAAGTCAGACAGCTGTGCAGGAAAGGAATGAGTCCATCATAAACTTGCAGGCAAACTCCTGCACAATGTCTAAATTGCACCAAAAACATTGCCAACGTTTTTGATGATCAAAACTTGCAGGAATTTGCCTGCAAGTTTTGATCATCAAATACAAGAAATTAGGACTTGTATTTGTTGCCATGGTATCAAAACATATCAATATTGTTTGATTTTCATGAGTATTTTGTTTAAGTTTAACATTCTGGTATCATGGCAACCCTATTTAGGACTAAATTAATCTAAACAGTAACCCCCGACGACCACACCTGTAATGAAATAATGATGTCTGATTGTCAGACTGATTCATGTGTCGCTTGCTCCAGGCGTTTGGCACTATCTGGTGTTTTAGCTCATCTTGCTCATTCACTTTCATAGTTTCCAATTTTTTTATTTTTTTCCATGCGATGACAAGTCAAAATGTCAGCTCTGAGTGAAGGCCTGAGTCACAGTCATGATGTAACGTAGAAAAAATGTCCATGACCATCTTTGGAAACAGAGGCTGAACTCTATCTGTCAAAACCCGCTCTGAACGGTCAGAGACGCTGGTACACGGTGTGACTGTTAAGAAGTCCACTCGGTGAAGTCGACTCGATGTTTGAGGATCAAACAATCAATGCAACGCTGACTTCATGGGACAAACGCTACGCTTCTTAAAGGAAGATCTGGGGATGTTAGCAGGACATCGGGGAGTGAAACACATAAATATGAAACACAAATATCATATGTATACATGCTGGATTAAAGCTGTCTTATAACTGCTGAGATTTATCATCATTCATATCATCCAAGCAAATGTTTCACTGGAGAGTTATGGTGTCCTGTGATTAGATATGCTCCTTCAGAGACTGTGACATACTAATACAAAGGATCAAGACATGTAGAGGGGCTTGGCATTAAACTGCTTGATTGTGGGATTATGTCTTTCCCTGACTCCCGAGTTTAGTTGGTAAAATAGATTTGGCTGGTCATACTTAAAGGGATACTTCACCCGTTGAAACATGAATCTGTATTGACATTGGGTCATATATGTAGTAGAAATGTGAAATACATTTTGAAGTTGGTGCCTTCTTTACTGAGAAAAGGCAGAAAGTGTCTTTTTGGCTCATGTGGATGAAAGACAACAACTCCCAGAATGCACAGCGGGTCTTGTGCCTCGGCTGCAACGCCTCCTGTTTCTCCTGCTCGTCGCTATATTGCGGCTCGTAGAGATAGCCGCAAACATCCGATTTGAGTAAAAGACCCTTCATCCATATCAGTTTGAAGTTGAAACATACTTTCCGCCATTGTCAGTTCTTCTTTCTCCACAGAGCCTGTTAGTATAGCTTCCTAGCAAGAGGGCGGACGTTGCTTTTAGATTCTGGGCGTGAGGTCCCGCCCACTGATCTGTGATAGGTCTGTAGCTTCAGTGGGTCCCCACCCTCTTAGGGCGGGTTGAAAACATGAGGAACCAGCGATGTAGTTTTACCCCCTTTAACCAAAGCAGCTGCCGATGATGCAAAGTGACGATATTTGCGTCATCTGAGGCTACTTTTGCAGACAAGAAATACAAAGATATCCTGTCTCAGGGGAAAATGAGGGCGGGATGCACGACCAGTCAAAAATACTACCAGGTTTCTAATGATATAAAGCTAAATGAAAATGAGTGAAGTATCCCTTTTAGGTTTTATGTTCTTTGTGTTTATCAAAGTTTTTCCACGAGTGCACAACAAAACATTTCTAGACGTTTTGACCTTTGAGCTGACTTATCCACAGAGGTCTCCTCCTCACAAGGACAGACAGACATGTTGTTTTCAGATCCAGCCTAATGAACATAACTGGCCAAACGTCCTTGTCTTATTCTGAAGGTCAAACAGTCACATTTCTTAAAAATGGAAATGAAAGGCTGACGTTCATAGAGTAAAATCTCCCCAGCTGAGTCAGATTCTTCATCTTGTTTAAAAAAAAATATTAATTCTGTGACTTGAAATGAAAAGGAACAAGTTGTTTGAGTGATCAGCTGACAGGCGGAGCTCTGATTCCATCTTACAGGTCAAACATGAGACTCGTGTAGGAGCTTGGTGTTGAGCTGAACTGAAAGAATAATAAAAAATACTTGAAGCACAGTATTGAAAACACAAGTGGAGTCATATTAGTAGTTCAGATGTCTTAAGTAGTTCCTCAAGGAAAATCACTGAAGAACCAGAAAATCCCCTATTAGTCGCATAAAGTTGAAATATCTTTATATAATTAGTGACAATGTTCATTTACAAACATCAAACTGATGATGATGCAATTGATTTAGCTTGAAAGCTATATTTAATACATTGTCCCTCTGATCTGTGAGAGTGAGAGAGACCACAGGAGTTAAAGTGTACGAGGCAGGGCGCAAGTTGACCCTTAGCGGGTAAGGTGGTGCCCTAAGAAATGAGATTGTAGTCCTCCAAGCACGAGGCTCCTTTCCCACATCTCATTCCCCTCCCCCTCTCTCTCTCTCTCTCTTTCTCTCTCCCTCCCTGATTTCCAAATCTATCTCGATCTCCTTCCTCTCAAACAAAAAGGCGTAAAAGCTCTTAAATGAACCTTAAAAAAAACTCTTTCAGTCATTATTTACCTTTCACAGAGATGATGATTGGCAGTCTGATGCAACAACCAATGATATCGCAGGACACCAAAACTCTCCTATCATACCATAGTTAGTCAAATCTGGGATTCAGTCGACCTCCAGGATCTATAAAGTTACACTTAAAGCAATACTTGTGAGTGTCTGTTCACTCTGACAGGACATAATACAGAGACGTTTATCAAAGGCACTTTGAAGGGAGATTAAGGTCTTTTTTTTGTATTCCCATGTCTCTCCAAAGGCCATTAAAGATTTAGGATGTTTCTATTCGCTTGTTGTGTAAAGTGCATCCTTCAGCCCAGCGATGATTTGTGGATGCCCTCGTCTGTGCTGTCTCTGCCTCACCTCTGTGTCTGTCCTCAGAGGAAACTTTGTCTTCACCCATGTGTGTTTTTTTTTGGTTTTTTTTTCTGAATGAAGAGGGATGCATTAGGGTGTTCAACTCCACCCATAATGTCTTCTGTCTACATGTCTGCCTGTCCCTGACATGTCTGAAGCCCTGAAGCCATATGGGTGTGAATGCAGCGCCTCGGTCTGTCTCTTGTCATTGTCGCCTGTGATTACTTGATTCTGTGGTGCAGGACCTGCTGGCTTCACTTCACTTCCCCGCACAATCCACTCCTTTCAAAAAACCACAACACCTGAGGAAATTTATATATCTTTATTTTTATGTCTGAATGCTCTCGATGACACCACAGTTCTTAGAAAAGTTGTGCTGTCGTCTCTTCAGACTGTAAATAAGAAGTCGTCTGGTGTTTGGCTGTCCCCATCTTCAATTTTGGGAGCCAGAAATGACCATATGTGGACATGAGGGTGGAGCTTGATTGAAAGCGAGTTCTTAGAAAACCGTTCGACGATCACTGGTATTTACTTGGTTGGCAAGTTGCAGCTGTTTTTCACTGTAACTGACTTTAAAGCAAAAGCTAAAAAAAAAAACACAGGTTGAATATACAGACAGCCAACTTCCCAGAGTGCCTTTCACTACAATAAATGCTGAAAAGGCATTTTTCAGTTCAT